AAATTAAACACAAAATGGACACATTAGACATTTCTGACACTGGTTGTCATTAATTCGCACAAGTTTCTAAAAGTTCATATAAGACTCCACGAGTTCGAGTAAAATGAATGACTTTATGAGTACACTATACTTTCCTAGTGCTCCTATCAGGGCCAGACACTGCCACAGCATCTTTCGTTCGATGGAGTTAAACGCCACCCTCAAGTTTAGAAATACGATTAGCGCTGAATGACTATGTTACAGAATCTGTTGAAGACTCGATATATGGTTAGCTCTCTCTTCCAGACCTAAAGCCTAACTTGTTTTCATGGATCTGTTTCTCCTTAGCACCACTTAGTCTACACAGGATTATTGAACCTAGAATTTAAATTGCTACCTCAGTCAGACGTGACTACTACAAGATTTGTCTTCCTTCTCACTTTTTTTCCTTCACGTTCCCCAGTGGAACATAGGGCTTCAAGCTAGTGGCTTGAAGTTTCTTTAGCAGTATTTATTTTACAGGATGGGGTTGCTAGCCTCATGCCCAACCTTTCCTCTTCACCAGCATTATTTCTGGCTTAGCGAGGTAAAGGGTGCGTCGGTGGCATAGCAGTTAGGACGCTCGCCGGACCATGCTAAAGAAACTTCAAGCCACTAGCTTGAAGCCTTATGTTCCACCAGGGAACGTGAGGGAAAAAATGAGGTAAAGGAGTGCGTCGGCCAGGGATCGAACCCCGGATCATGTGCATAGTCGTCGGGCGTCCTAACCGCTATGCCACCGACGCTTCTTTCTTCTCATAAACTGTAATAATTAATGATTTTCACCAGTCCAATGGGTCTGTCTGAGATTCCCACACATCACCTAATAACTTAGTTAACCGGTCCATAGTCCATCACCAGCATACTTGAATACCTCTGGAGCCACTTCATCAAGTCCTGGAGCTCTGTCTCGTTTAAAATTAGACACAGCTTTTACAACCTCGGTTACTTTTGGAGGACTGATGTCTACTTCGCATACACGTAGGTGTTGGATGCCGGGTAAGTTCAGTGTCACATCCAGTGTGGCTGTAGGCCTGTTGAGTTGTTCCTGAACATGTTCTTTCCCTCCAACATTCCAGCCGTCTTTTATCTTGAGGAGTAATGAAAGAACCATCCTTCTGGGAAATCGTTTCATTCATCTTTGGGTTTTCGCAGCCCGTTTACCTAATCATTCTAAACAGTTGTCTGGTATTACCTGCCGCTGATGCCTTTCCCACCTCTTTTGCATCTGTCGTCTACGGCTGTGTCATGATTGTTGTGAAGACTTTTAGTCAAATTTCATTCCAGAAAAATATCAACAGGCTTTGCGACTGTTTTTACAACTGACTGGATATCATGCCAGGCCTCCTTACGATGAGTCTTCCTACCAAATCTTCGATAGACGTTTAGCTATTTCCTCTTTGAATAAAGACTTAGTCTTCTCAACAACTTGGGAGTGTAGCGACACCTCACTGCTGCCTATTTTCTACGTCGTAGGCATATGCATGTATGAACCACAGGATGATCAGAGTCTACGCAAATGTTCCAGAAGGAGGGTAAGTCCTCCAGAGACTCACCATCGACAGTTTGACGCCACATAGTCTTTTGAGTCCAGATGAAGCAGTCTCTCCTTTCAAATTAGTGTTGAGAAATCTCGATTTCAGTGACAAACTAAATAGATTTCGATACAACTACTGCAATTACAACTCCTTTCCATTTTTTCACTTCATCTTAATATGTGCAATATGGAGTGTGGAAACTTGAGCTGATGCACTTTTGTGTAAAGTTCTAGGTTGAAAACTCAGTCAGTTAATTAGTCAAGAAAAGACATCGCACTAATAAAGGCACTCCGCTTGAACTCACACAGACTTGCAAGTGATTACGAATGGTTGTCATCTGAAGTGACGACAATTGGTGGTGTCCATCACGGATGTTCATTATCCCCCTTTCTGTATAATTTCATCATAGATGTAACCAATGGAATTAACTCTAACTGACTTCAGTGACTTCGGCAGTGAACTGTTACCAGGGAATAGTCTTGTTCACTTGGATTGTGCAGATGATGCAATTCTCCTAGGTGAAGACGATGAAAATATGCAGAGTCTTCTGAACACCTTGAGCAGCAATATTCGAATGTTTGGCATGCAAATTGCACCTGTCAGATATGAGGTAAATATGACTACACTACATCGACCCCTTGCTTTGCTGGCTGGATTCAACACAGAACTTGGCACCGAAGTGCAGAAGTTCCAGTTGCCACGTTCCAAATAGCACACAAAGGTAGACAGGAAAATGAGTGAAGAGAATCAATAGAGTTTTGATAAGTATAAGAGTGAAACAGAATGAGTAATGGTAGAAAGGAATATGAAAGATTACAGAGACTGAATACATCTGCGTAAGCCATTGACAACGATTTTGAGCCATGTCACCTATTGTCTCCAGCCATTGATTCTTAGAGTCCCGAGGGCCCCAACCCGGAAGGAGTCTGCATCTCCCTACCTGACTCAGTTTAACTGTCAGGGATTTCATGGATTGATGCCACGTTTTTGTCTGACCACCACTTACTCTTTTCGAACCTGCACCTATATCAGCTAGTAATGCCCGTCGGGGGAGGCGGTGGTTAGGCATGCTTTAAGTGAGAGGGAGTGGGCGCGTGTTGACCACTTCACTCAATTGTGAAGTTGCATCAGCCCCAAAGGGCTGACCGCTGACGAAGTCTCAGAAAGGATACAGAATGCTTGTGTCAATCTACATCATTTCCCACGTGAACGTGATGTCTTGTTGGCTATCGATCGGACGACATGTGTACTCCTCAGCACTTCACTCCGTACTCCTTTATGGCTGGCTGTGAGTGAGACATGGATATTAAAAGTAGAAGACATGAAAAATCTGAGTAGCTGTCTTCGACCATAGGTGCCTGCGTTCTATCTCCCCTGTGAAGTGGTATAATAAGGTGAGAAATATTGAGGTTAGGCCTCGTTCGAGTGCTAGATAAAGAGGGGAAATCAATCGACGAGGCTCTGAAGTTACACCGATTGAGGTGGTTACGACATTCTGTGTTATGCATGGCTAGGTATCACCTTCCTCGACGGGCAATCTTATCTGATATAGGATGGATTAGGTCGGAAAAGAATTGGCTAGTGGTGGTCAAACCACGACATGGCTTCATCAGTCAGCGAAATCCACAACAGTTAGTTTAGGCCTTCCAGCTAGCCACGTAGGGAGGTGTAGACGCCCTGACTGGTTGGGGTCCTTGGGATGGTAATGAACAATGGCTAGAGTCAGTCAATCAGTCGTATGATTATCCTGGAGAAGTTCATTATCATTCTAAACTGTGATCAAATAAAAAGCATCCTGATTCACAGTTCGGAGGTCTATGCACCTAGATTTTACAGGAGACTCGAAGCAGAAACAATTTTTTTGGTCGTTCAAGCTTTATAAGCGCTTATAAACCAGTACTAGCTTTCATTTTGTAGCACAATCTTTTTGGCTTACTGCATTCAACATCATAACTGGCGAATTTTCCTTAAGGTCACTCTTTCATGCAGAACTGGTAAGCAGATTAATTGACAATCGAATATCACATTTTGATACATGAAGAATAATCCACCTGGAGTGTTCTAGAAGTCATAATAATAATAATGAAGTGACTGTGGCAGCAACATCAGGTCATCATGAAAGATGTCCGTCAGGGATGCCCACTGTCCCCATATTTGTTTAATTTCATTATAGATGTACTAATGGAACTAACCCTAACTGCTGACTTCAGCGACTCAGGGATTGACTTGTTATCACCAGGGAATAATCCCGTTGACTTAGAATATGCAGATGATATAGTCCTCCCTCCTAGGTGAGGAAGACGCTGACAAAGTGAAGAGTCTTCTGAACACCTTCAGCTGCAATCTGTTAATGTTTAGCATGCGATTCGCTCTCGCCAAAATGTAAGATGATGCTACAGGTCTGGACTACATTGACTTCTAGCTTAGAAATTGGGAGTGAAGTGGTTTGTGGAGCGTTTTGGCCACTACACTTATTTCGGAAGTTGCATTAGCCAGCGCCAGCGGGTTGATCGCTGATGAAATTTCAGAACGGATATAGAGGGCTAGTTTCGCATATGCCAGTTTACACCGTCTCTAGCATAGACGTGATATCCGGCAAGCTGCCAACCAAAGGGCGTGTGTACTGTTCAGCGGTCCGTTCCGTCCACCTTTATGGTTGGCTGTGACTGAAACATGGCCATTAAAACTGGAAGATGTGAAAAGGCCGGGCTATCTCTCTTTGATCATAGGTGCCTGCGTTCTATCTCTCGTATTAAGTGGTATAATAAGGTGAGCAATAATGAGGTTCGGCCTCGGTTGAGTGCTAGATATGGAGGGAAGGGAGCATCAATCGACGAGGCTGTAAAGTCACACCGACTGATGTGGTTACGACATTCTGTGTTATGCATGGCTAGGCATCACCTTCCTCGATGGGCAATGTTAGCTGACATAGGATGGGTCACGTTGGAAAAGAGCTAGCCAGTGGTGGTCAAAACAAAACATGGCTTCACCAGTCAATGAAATCCACAACAGTTAGTTTAAGCCAGACAGGTAACGAGGTGTAGACTTCCTGGTTGAGGTCCTCCGGACGGTAAACACCACTAGAAACAATCGGTGATATATCTTAAAATCGTTCTCAATGCATAGCGCAGATGCATCCACTCCTTGTGACTTATAATTTCCAATGGAACTTTATTGTTCTTCGATTTTACTATTGTTTTTGCCTCATATCTCTCTTTATTGTCTCTATTTTGCATTTCTTTTTACTTTTCTTGCTTTGTGTACAGAGTGAAGTGTGGCGACTCGAACTGCTGCACATCGGTGCAAAGTTCTATGTTGAAAACAGACAGATATCATGAAAGATATTTTCAAACACTACTACAATCGAATTGAGAATTGAATTTAGTTAGGTCTTAAGCAAGAATGGAACTATCGAATTTTAGTTGAAAAAAAAGTCTTTCTTACCTTCGACCTTTCTCTCTGTCACGTTTACGTTCATAGTCATCACGGTCTTTATGACGTGACGACACATGATCTCGTTCTCTTTCCCTACGGTCACCATGAGGAGATTCCTCACGATGTCTTCGTTTATGGCGGTCTTTATCTTTCCCATGATCTCGTCGTTTATGCTTGCTTTTTGATTTATTATTTTCATCATAATTATTCACTATGTCTAATTCTTCTGTATACTGCAAATCTTCCAGATCCTCGTTCAAAAGTGACTGCCGAGGTTCTAAACCGTTGAGTTCTTCAAGAATTTCGCGTTTTTGTAAACGCGGCAGGATAACATCGCAAACACGTTCCTCTGTAAGCAGCTGATCGATAAAATCATCCATGTAAATTAAACTGAAATCTAACAATGATGAATTATCAAGACAGTTAAACAACTTACTCCCCATTTTATCTTGAAATTTTAAACGTCTAAAATCGTTATACAACGTTTCAAGATATTTATATATCTCAACAGACTCGCCGACTAGTCTCAAGTAGAATGCTCCTAAAGCTCGAGCATACCTGAAATCAACGACTTTTCACCATGATAAACTAACTTGTACGGTTCCTGTTTTATAAATTCAATAACAATATCTTTATCCGGTTGAATCTGCAGCATTTTCAGTGTAAGACACAGAAAAGGCGTTGGTTTAACATTTCCACTATACACTCCACCGACATAACGCAGTTCTACAGCCTTATCGACTAGTAATTCAGCTATTGAACACAAAAAAAATATCGTTAAGCAGAACAGACAGAAGTCGCATATACCTGTTAAAGCGAAGCAATGCTCCTTCCAGAATTGTGATTCATAAATACGACTACGAACGATTTTCTCAATGAGATACTGGGGATTAGTGCCGTGAACTGTATGCGCATCTTTAACTGTACGATTCGCCATGTACAAGTAATGATGTGCAGCAGCAAATCACTATTTAAATTTTTGAAGAAAAAGATATACATATAAATTGACTAAGAAAACATCTAGAGACGTATAGAAACAAAAGTACCCTACACTTGCTGCAACAGAGCCATTGAAAGTATCTAACATTGTAAACTTTAATTTGTGGCTGGCTGGCTGGCTGGATTCAACATAGAACTTGGCACCGAAGTGCAGCAGTTCGAGTTGCCACGTTGCCACTTTAATTTGTAGAAAAGATTCTGAACACACATAATACATTACAGCAGCTTCACATAAAAAAGTTATTTAGTCATGTGAAAAAGAAAGAAACAACACATTGTGTAAAGGGCCGTTAACAGTAACCTGATAAACACCTTGGAGAACTTGTTCAAAAAAACATACATGCATACAAGAAGTGAATACTCTTGTATTCTCCATAGATGCTAAGAATCAAGGATTGGAGATTGTTATAGTGACATGGTTCAGAGTATTTAGCAATGGTGTACAGATTTATTTACGCCTGGTTATCACAGTGTCTAGAAATCAGCACTACTTACTTCACTTTACTTCGGCTATCTCCTACGGGAGGATGAGCCGGCTTCATGAACATCTCGAATAGGAGAGTTCATGAAGTTTCATGGGAATTTGGTACGAGTGATGTCCCCAGAATCGCTCGGCCTTTTGTTTGAGAGTGCAGCTCTTGCCTTTACACAACCAAGTGTGACCTACAAGGCAGTAGGAGTGGAGTAGGGAGTCCACTATCCATTGGCATCCAGTGACCGGAGTTCGGTTCATACGCCTTTTTGAATGGGGCCAGACATCCAGGACATCCAACAAGCCTTTTGTCCATACGTCTGCCGGTGAGCTCCAGTGAGATTCATACGCCAGTCATCGAAGGTCTGGAATCAGGGTTTAGCCATCTCCCCTAGACTGTCATCCAATGGACAGTCAACCCGGTGAAGAGCGTCGGGCATCCGCTTTCGCCCTCTCATTTTGGTGAAAAAACACCTCCGCCACGTGAAGGCAGTGAGTAGGACTTCTTCAGGAGAGGCTATGTAAGACGCCCGGTCATATGGGAGCATTTCAAGAGGTGTGCGGAGAGGTGGCCAACCCGCAGCGAAAGGCACCCACCCCCGACCATCCTGAGGCTTTGGGGGCATTACTTTCTACCTAATTGTCTTCTCTAACTTAAATCCTTGTCCACTGCGTGTTTCATCACATTTGTCTCCTCTTTTTCTGTATGAGCTTCCCTGAAGTGAGACGACTTCAACTGTTGTAGTTTTGTGCAAACACCTACGTTGATAAGTCAAGTAGTGTTAATAATAATAATAAGTTGCCTGGAGATCTAATAAGAAGTTGTGACCAGTAAAGTTCACCCGATCGGAAGTGAGGACAAACACTAGCCACTGATGATATTGACAGGTGCCAGTCGAGCTAAAATCACGAATTGGTAGAAGTTATAATTCATGCGCTGGCCACTGAATCGGGTTCCAGTGACTGGATGGTCTACTAGCTCGCCATGTAATCGGAACGTCATTGTTACGAAACCCTGCGGTGGGTGGGCAATGCCGATGAGTCCCAAACTAGGACAAAACAGCTGTTCAGTACTCCCTGGTTCTTAATAGTTCTCTAACTGACATCAACAGGTGGTTAAACTTGAATTTATATATATATATATATATATATATATATATATTGCCTTTAAGCAAGGGACTTCGAATAGAGGTGATAGATGGCTGTATGCTATTATTTCGCCTGTAATGTTTATATACAGAGCTTACCAGCTGCTGACAAACCTTTTAGGAGAACGTGTGTCTAACAGATAATTTCAAAGAGTGGTTAGTGTCAAGAAACTGGAGATAGCCGTGACGTTACGAAACACAACGATAGGTCTGCATAAGAAAGGCTGCTTTTTGATTGAACACTAGTCAGTAACTAGTGTAATGTGTCTAGTCCTATCTTCGGTGCAGACTGAATTCTATCAGTCATGTTTGCTGATGAGTGCCAACTAGCACGAAACCTAGGTCCAAGGTTTCCTGCCGATTGCCTCCAACCATCGAATACCAAAGGCTGCTTTGTCAAGCTTCCACAGAAAGGCTACTTATGCCTCACTCTGCGAGAACTGGCATGGAATAATGATATTGTCCACGCCAAGTAAAAAACTAAGAGAAGAAAAGATGCACTGGACGCAGAACCCCATCAGCCCGGAACAACCTGGCTGGATTCAGGAAAGGTAAATCATATGCGGATCGAATTCCAACTCTACGCATCCCCGTCATCATCATCGAACAAAGTATAGGACGGTAGTCAAACCTCTCTCTACTTTAACTTTACCGACTTTGAAAAGAGAATTCGATAGACAGTGTTGACTGCGAAGTAATTTGGAAACTACTTCAACACTATGGCGTGCAGTGCCCAATGTTTGTCAACCTCATTCAGCCACAACTATATGACAATGCCACGTGCCAGGTGATTCATAACGGAAAATTCAGTGAGGCGTTCGAAGTGAAGATAAGTCTGCTGCCCTTATCAACGACAATACTCTCAATTGTGGTGGATTGGATTATGCGTCAGACTGTAGGTGGGGAACGAGAAGACAGCAATACGATGCACTGACCGATAAGAAAAATCTGGATCACTTGGATTTCGTGCGTGGATGATTTATGTCTAATGTCACACAAACTCGAAGGCTTCCAGGCGAAAACCAACAAACTGGCAGAGGAAGGCAGGTAGTGAAGACAGGCTTTCAGGTGAACATCGGCAAGACGGAGGTGATGAAGATAAGCAACCACCACCAACAGCAACAGTAACCAGAACGAACCACCATCAATGGGAGAGACTTGATATGGAAACACGGTCTCAACCACAGGCAGTCGGAACGAACGAAGATGTCAAAGCCAGTCAAAATCGGAAAGGCAAGATACACACACCTTCATCAACCTGAAGCCAGTATGGAAATCTTCTGCACTCCGCCCCAGCATCACAAAGAACAAGATTCGGATTGTGATCAACATAAATGCCAAGTCAGTGAGTTCTCCTATATGGGTCAGAAACTTGCACTGCGTGTCACGGAAAGGATTTCCGACAGCAAGTTACAGACTTTAATCAACAGCTGTCACCATTTGCTGGCTTCATACTGAAGATCAAATAACCGGCCAGAAAGAATTAGCAACAAGAAACTCTGGGAACAAGCCAACCGAGATCTGATCTATGAACAAATGCGTAGGAGAAAATGGAGATGTATTGGGCATACATAGTGGAGGCCGTTGAGTGACTTCTCGTGCACTGAAAGTCACCGATCGAGTGGGATCCCAATGGGAAGCGAAGAGTACATCGTTGGTACGAGGGTGACATGGAGGAGATCGTGCGAGAAGAAACACATAAGCAATTATTGAATATCTGAATGAAACTCAGCTCGACTTTCGCAAATACGTTTTTAACGTTCTGGAAACTCCTTGAAGTATGAGGAATAGCCTCTTTTTGGACTAGATTGTTAACTAACTGATATCCAAAAGACTATTATATACATTAAATCGGCGCTTTTCAGAGATGGGGACAGTAATGACCTCAAATTATGGAACACTCACAAACTTGTACACCCAAACCAATCCAGTTTACTCGACCAGATTCTCGCATCCTAACCCACCTCCCACAAAAAACTCAATTCGACTACGTGATGTGTGGCATGGATAATTTATGACTTTGCGTTATTTTCGTATCTTTGATTTCGTCATCCGTTCTCAGTGATATTAAATCCCAGTCTGTCTGTACAGTTTCGAATTGCTAGTCACTTACCTTTAGTGGTTAAGTAACTGACATGGCTCTTCTGAAACCGTGTGCCACGTTCATGTATGCCACCTAAAACATTCGCGCGTTGATTCAATTCAAGTGACATCACATGCCACACTGTCGGGTGGGCCCCAAGTGAGAAGCGACGAGCTGGGCGTAGGTTCGAGGGTGACAAGGAGAAGGTCATGTGTAGAGGAAACGAGATCCTGTGGGCAGATATGGAGCCGGGTGAAAATGATAGTGGAAAATATAGTAAATTAGAGATGTGCCGCTGATGTCCCATGTTACACCGAGAACGCAAGGGACCGAAAATAATAATCCAACGATCACCTATTTTAATTAAGACCACTTCTATCAGTACATTACTCATGTATTGGATTCACTAGTCGAACATTGGTTTACAAATACAGTGAAGATCAAGTATATGAAGTCTTAGAAGATCTTTCACTTTCAGCTTTTCACAGTCACAGTTGGACAGTGTGCAATGCTGTGAAGTGCACACTACAGTTACCAAATAATCGAATATCTCATCCACTGCATAAGCAAGAGGAGATAATTTATATCGTTACCCGAATTTCACAACAATCGACACATTAAGACAAGTATGAGTCCTTAAGTAGGTGGCATTATTACACAATCTTTTCATTCGACATCATCTAACAAAACGTCAACTCGAGCCAATCCTGAATATATCACTGACCTCAATGTAGTTGCTTACAGTGTCTAGATTGTTTTCTTCAGTGTCTTCATTGAGCGAAACAGTACTGTCTTTGCACTCAAAATTAACCAGTGAATCTTCTGCATGAAAAGAAGTCTGTAAATTTAGACAACGTGACTGATAAGTTTGGATAAAAGTAAGGATTTTACAGACACTAGAACAGATGAGTAATCAAGACAACGTTACTCAGCTTGTAGTAAAATGGAAATGTGGATAATCGACTTTCAGCTAGTAGGTTCTAGCACAATCCCACCTATTTCAGCCCGAACAACTCAATACCTGACCGTCATAACCTGGTACACAAAACGTCTGTTTTGGGTAATCAAGTCCCTACTAATTATAAATTGACTAACCTGAACTTTAGCAACACAACAGATACCTATGCTTAACTGTCTCGTGGCAAATTGTCTAACGTGAAAATTTGAGAAGCCGTCGTTCAGTCGGCCGTTTCGTTTGCTTTCCGTAAGTATCTAAACCCAAACTTAAGTTATGAAAATTCTAAACAGCACGGCAAATATTGGAGATTTCATCTAGCTTACAATAAAATCTCCTTAGTGGCATAAGTCTGCTCGACCAATGAAGTTCACCCTAAGCGTTATTTTGAAAGAGGTAGCCGCTTTCACGAAGTGATTATTACATAGGCTATTCAGAGTCGAGTGCTGATGGATGTCTGTTACAGACCTGTATAATACATTCCACAATCTATATGGTTTCCTCTTATGTGTTCTTGGAATTCAATACTCACTGGTGAGTTGAACTCTATGAATGCTGTCCTCTTCCAATTCTCACGGAAGTTATAAGTAGGCTTCTAAATATACTCACAATTTTAATGGGGGAAGATATAACGTGGTACTTACCGCCACTTAACATATAATTGAAAAGGGAAACTAAAGTGAAAACTAGTTGAAGGTTTCACATTATCGAGATGTCTACATGGACAGCACAAAAGTCCCATTTATTTCCCTTTAAATACTCATATGAACCTCATTTTGTGGATTACTTGTTGGAAAATAAACAAATTTATTGCTTAAGTTTAGGTCACACTACTTCATTAGAATTGTGCTCATACCGAACACAACTTTAAAAAGCACCTACCACATAAACATTGAAACGGCATTTAAATAATAAACCGAATTATAAGTAAACATTGATGCATTCCTCAGAACATCTCACCTAAAGTACGGTACAAAAGCTCAAATGGAGTAACCCAACTATATATCAAAGACTCCATTTGATGTCATTGGTAAATGTGATGAAAACATTGCCTCAACATGACATTTAACACACAAAGAATAACGGTTTTTAACCTGAAGATATATAGCACACTTTCAGTGCAATTAAAATTCGGACTAATTAACATAAATTAGAGACCTACTGTTATATGGATTTCTAATTGTAAAGCAACGATTTAAAATATAACTACCTGGCCATCTACGAAGTTTGGGAATTTTATAATGAGCAATATGCAGAAAAATTTACCACCTTACTAGAAACAACTTACACAACTTACGGGAATCCAAGTAGCCCGCCAGCAATTCTCTAGGTCAAGGATACTGACGTCTAAATTGCTTCGATTGAAAATTAACCAACACAAAAAACTCTCAATACGTAACACTTTTGCAAAGAATTCTTTCAGTACCCTAAACAAAATCGCAGTCGGACGCATCTAGTTATGGAATATTATTATTTCTTGTGAAATGATACCGACTAATAATTTACTTGAAGATTTTACACTTGGGATGAATAATTTGCAACCAAAATTAATCAAGACTCCGTAGTTTGTGCTGAAGCACTCTCAGAATAAATATGTTTTGATTATAAGCAATTATTCTTAATTGTTGCTATTGGATGGTTTGAGGCAATCGGCAGGAAGCCTTGGACCTAGGTTTCCTGCTAGTTGGCTCTCACCAGTCAGCAAGGCGTATCTGCAACCTCGAAGTAAATCATGTCCCTTCTGGGGTTCGAACCCGCGTCACCCAGAGCTGCAGTCAGAGACGTTACCGCTGAGCTATTCAGGCCGCGATTGACCACCTGTAGGACTGTATTGGATATTTCTGATTGGACACTAGTTAGTAACCAGTTAAGTGTGTCTAGTCCTATATTCGGTGCAGACTGAATTCTACCAGTCAAGCTTTCAGTGTGGTGGTTTCGAATCTCAGAAGAAACATGAGTTACTTCAAGCTTGTAGATAAGCTTTGCTGACTAGCCAGTGCCGACTAGCACGAAACCTGGGTCCAAGGCTTCTTGCTGATTGCCTCCAGCCGTCTCATACCAACAATTCACAGTGCACTGTATTAGCAAGACACCTAGCATGGTGGTCACATTGCGAGCTTGACTGATAGAATTCAGTCTGTACCGAAGAGGGAACTAGGCACATTACACTAGTTACTGACTAGTGTTCAATCAAAAATTGTTCCTAATGCCTGGAATCACTTGATTACTCTGTATTCTTTTGAAACACCATGACGATTGTTTTAAATCATTCCTGCTGTTGATCAACCCAGTTGTTCTTAAATTACACTAACTGATGTTTCAGTGGGTATTTACTTCATAATACCTTCCACACATAATATGTCACTAAGACTAGTCTCATGCTGAAGAGAGCTGAGATAGTCTGGGACAGTTTTTAAGTATACAAGATGCAATTTCCGCCTCTATCTCATACGAAAGTCCGGGAAACCATTCCGCGCTGACCTCACTAAAGTGGTGTTTGATTTTAAGGGCAAGATTCCAACAAAAGTTACTGATATGGCTGTGTATAGGAATGGGTCGATAAATTCCAGAATGTTACAGGACACAATGGTCTAAGCTGGGAAACATGATAGACTCCAGAAATCCAGATGTAATTATCCCCATAGAGACATGGCTCACACCCGATGTCACTGACAACGAAGTTAACCTGCCAAACTTCAAAGTGCATAGGGTGGACTGACTAAACCGCAAAGGATGTATCGTAGTCATCTACCTCAAGAGATGCTTAACTGTGCGTAGCATCGGAACGCTCGTTCACGAAAGTGAATCGTACGAACTTCTTCGACGCAGACGTAAATGCATAAGCCAAGATATCGACCTCATTGATATATACCGCAGTCTTGACTGCAGTGCAGATGACTTCCTTATAGAGGAGCTAGGCTCCCGGTCATCAAAATGTAGAAGTCTCGTAGTCGGTGACTTCAACGCCCCAAGATTTGACTGGGCAAGCCACACACCGCTACCTTCAGACGACCCCTTTGATCATCAACTACTGGCATCTGGCATTTCCTAATCACTAGTCCAACATGTCATTAAGCCCACGCGCCTACTCACAGCACTCCTCCTCAACTCTGGACCTGGTGTTCTCCCACGGTGAGGATGGAGATCTCATACAACATCTTCCCCCTTTAGGAAGAAGCGATCACACTGTGCTCACTTTCAAGTTCACAGCAGCAGTATCATGAGCAAAAACCCCAGCTCGACCAAACGTTTGGAAAGCTGATATAAATGCGATCGTTTCAGCAGTCAACTCAGTGAACTGGTACATCAACATAGAGTCCTAAGTAGAAGTGACTGTTATCACTGAAACATGGTTGTTAGTGGGTGTAGACTTAACTCCACTCATACCTGGGTACATCTGCATTAGATCAGACAGAGTAAGTAGTCGGAAAGATGTGGAGGATTGCCCTATACATTCGGGATAACATATGAATTAGATTAACATTGTCAGAAGCTCTTGACAGCGGCACGAGTGAAGCCGCTAGTTGTGTCATTAACTTGAACACAAATTTACTCGAAAAGGATTAACATAGGCTTCAAGCCTTCTACCCTCAACCAATGAATCTGAATCTGAAATCTGAAGATGACCGCAGTGGCTTTTGGATTATAGGATGACGGTCTTCTACATCCTGTGATCTCTAAGAAGAAAACAGTCATCCTGGGTTAACCGTAATCTGATGTTAAGCCGAAGCATACGAAAAGGATTCACTTATGTCAAGCGGTTTAAGAGGACAGGCATGACCATGAAAGAAGGGCGAAGAAAAGCTGACACACTAAAGCACTCTCCACTACCAATCCAGAGACACCACAAGCGCATCCAAACAGTTGGCAAGCCGTACAATACCTATTGAACCGAGATAAGTGAGATATTCACTTAAACGGCGAAAATTGCCACTCATTTTGTCTGGATTGGGATCATCAAGTGCATATGCGTGACTTAGGAAGTGGAACATGTCTTTCAACAGACTGTTAAACAAATGATGCAGAAATGGCTTATCAACTGGTGTGCCACTGGCGTCAGCTCGTTCAGACATGGATAAAATCTAAGTCCTAGATAGGCGAATAAGATGCATTCCGTTTGAAATAGGCCATATGAAATTAGGAATAGTGTGTAAGTGAAGGCTTGCTTTCATTTATTCATGAGAATACTGGCATATAACTTCATTAACATGCGTCTATTTTACCATATTTTATGCCAGCATTCGTACCCAGCTCCACATCTGCTCACAAGACCTCTATTGCCAACACATAATTTCCATATCATTATTGTGCCTGCGTCAAACCTGTCGCATATCCGTGAGGCCCTACTTGGTGGCGTGGCACCTGGTCTCATTTAAGGGTTTCCGCAACATGTGTCCAGTCCATATTCATTTCCTTCTGAATATATTTTGGGTGACAGATTGTAAGATGGTTTGTAGCACCAATACGATTGTTTGCTAATTACTTCTTTCGAGTGGTTGTTTCACGCACTATATGGAGCTGACAAATACAGCTGTTAATTGAATTTTGCAGTCTGTTAGAAAAACTTTTGTTTGTGTGTGTGCAAATGTCTGCGATTAAGTATCTTGGATTAATGCTTTCTTCTGATCTATCGTGGTCTTCGCATGTCTTAGCAATTTCCAAAGGAATATTTCGTCTGACTTTTCACATTAAGAAGTTGAGGCACTCAGGCATAACTCAACACCTCGTCCTCTTACAGTTTGTCAACTCGTGCATCTTACCTATTCTTCTTTACTGTTCACCCTTGTTCTTTCCTGGATTGCTTAAAAAACACTATGTCATACTTCGTAGAACTCTGAAGACTGTCAGTAGGACGAGTGGTATCCCATTGCGCCATGTCACTGACATCGTCATTGACATACACTTGATTTCGTGCGACAAATTTGCCAAAGCGATTTTGTCAAACTGGG